AAGAAAATTCAAAACTTGCTATTAGATATGGAATTCTTACCTCATAGAGTTCGTCTGATAGAAGTGCCACACGATGAGCATATGGGATTCTCGAATTAATGTCACTATTTCTATTTGTTAGAGGGTTGAAAAGAATGTATCCCTGAATCCAATTCAGAGACAGTTAAATTCAATGCTAGTGCAGAATACACAATAAAAAAAGATGGTGAATAAGCATGGAAAAAAAATTAACACAGCCCAGTCAAGATGTTTAATATAATCTTTTACTTTAATTTTCATTCTTGGCTCCTTTCCAGCTTCATTACCTACACATACAAAACAAAAACAAAAAAAGTAGGAAAAAGAATGAAAACAACTAAATGAGCCAAACCTTGCTTAAGGAAAAACTTGGTCAAACAACTTGTTTGTTCTCAGTTTTCAAAAAACAAAAAGCAAAAACAGCTGGTCAAACAGCTTGTCTCCCACAAACTGTTTCCGAAAATAGAAAAACTGTTTCTAATATGCAAATTAAACACGACCTTGATTTTATTGACGGAAGTTCAGAGAGAGATGAATAAAAAGGAAAAATAGAACATAGCTTGAAGATAAAAGGAATCTCCAAGACCATACCATTGTATATCTCCTGAACAACGATTGGAACAACAATGCCAATATAGGAGATACCACAGATGTATAGTGGATTGTTCAGAAAATTGGGGTGATCCACAAGCCACTATATCATATGCCAAAATGAAGAAACAATTATTCACCGTAAGTATTATCGAAATAAATATAATGGCTTTAGTATTCCAAGAGTTGCTGTCACCTTTCTAAGAAAATCATATGTTAGTGATGCTGATCTCGTATCGCTGCTGTTGTAAGCTTCCCATTTTTTCGCATAAGAGAATCCACTACCAGCAGGTTGATCTATAAAAATTATGTTGGCTACCTACAATGTCGTAATCACTTTTCATAACTTGACAAATTCATATTCTACTATAACCAATCAGCAGTGTACAAGAAACTTCGATTCCGATCAAGTTTTGGGCAGGTGGGAAAAAAAAGAAGGCGCTTTGTTATTGATCACCAACTATTTTTGGTTTCGAATTTGAGGTGCGGTAAATGGTCTCGCTTATACCTTTGTCCAAGAGTATGGGTTCAACTCCAATGTTGGTTTGCTTTCGCCGGAATTTGAAGGGTTCAATGTAAAATTGAATTTAAGAGGTCCTACAATGAAAAGAAAAAACATCAATCATCCTAAAAATTTAAAATTTAGGGCTTGTACCAATTTTGTCCTTAAACATTGATTTTATTTTTGACTCAAAAAATGTGACATTTTGAAAATTTTGTATATTTTAATTCCATTTGACTACTTGAGCAATGAAGCTCACCAAAAAATTTATCAAAAATTCCAAATTATACTGAGGAATCCTACGCATTAATCGTCGTAAAGTGTAGTTCAAGTGGTATCAAATATAATCTCTAAACTAAAATGTCTTGAATTTGAATTTTGACAATCTTTTGAATCAATTGACGAAAAATTTATTTTTCATGAGTACCCTAATCCCGATGTAGTGACCGAGAGTGTAAATCAGATGACCGAGACATCTTTAACTGTTGAAAAAGAAAAAAATTCTATGCATTAAATATTTTGTAGGAGAGAGTAAGACCCATTAATCCAACCACTATTATGCTTTGATATATAAAATTTAATAAATAATTTAGTAAATATAACAATGCTCAATTATGAGAGTCATCAAAAAGCCCACACCGCATACCCACCGTGCAACACCACACCAGAGACATATCAAAACATTGCCACCACCGAGACCGACCGCCAGCCAATTCTCGACATGTTCGCCGAATATGAAAATCCACATAAAATTAAAAGATTTGATTTTGGATGACAAATCTGTCAGGCGATTCAGGCCTACTTTAACCTAGATTGCCACAAACCCAACTGATTATACTTTATGGACTAATAAATTTTGACAGGACAACCCATTGTCAGCTCTACCTCCGACAAAGAGTTTCCCACCACCTCTACCTACAGGCGACAATAAGTTACAAACATACTGATATGTGCATTCGTCTACCCACCACCCAAAATCAAACTTACAGCCATTGTCACAGCCTCCATGACTCGCCAATGGGTTCGAATCCAGATGGGTCCCCCAAAATATATTACCCACCAATATTTTCTGTAGATGAGATTTAAGAATTTCGAAAAGTACCGATTTCATAGAAGAAGGAAAAAAGAGAAGAACAACCAGGGCCACCCGCCATCCAAAGTATAAGAGGGTCATCTCTTGGATTCCTTTCTGATTCAAGGAAATAGTAGAATAACTGCACTTCATCTCTCTCTCCTACACCAATGTAACTTCAATCCCAAAATGTTCGTTAGTGGGACAGTACCTTGGTGACTGATAGCTGTTTGAAGAAATGCCTAAGAGGAGTAAAATGAGAGAGCAGATAGAACCTACCCAGTTTCAAGTTCAAATGGAAGATCACCGGGAAATCCAGGTAGAGTCTTGATGATGGACTGTGGGACAATGGTGTCGGAGAGGAGCAACAGAAGAATGGCTCGAAGCAGCACCGGAGTGAGGTAGACTTGAAGTTTCTTAGTTTGCTGGTCCGGTGCCGGTTTCGGCGGTGCCATTGATTGCTTTTCTCAAGAAGGTAAACTGCACGAAAGTTTGTATCGAATAATGGCTAATAAGATTATATCTAATCATGTCTTAAATATTGGATTATTGTATTTAAGGTCCAAAGTACAAGATTTATCTCATTTTATCCTCTAATATTTTAATTGTATTATTTTAATCTACGAAATATTGAATATATTTTTGTATTGTCCTTTTAAGTAGAATTCGTCTAAATTTGTAATGATATTTTTATTATAAACTTATCCTATAATATTTAAATATGGACAAAAAATAATTTAAATAATTCTTGATTAAATTTCTACTCAAAATAACACGAAAAAAATGACACGATACAAAAATAAGATGAACCAAAATGATACGATTGACACCCTTAATTGAAGAAATATAGTGACAAATTGCACCACTAATAGTGAAGACTTGAAATTTTATGAAAAGTCGGTGGCTTAAAATTGTACCACCGATAGTGTTTTACTTGAAAAAATTAAAGAAAATTTGATGGGTAGACTTAGGACTTATATAATATAAAAAATGAGTGAAATTAGGATTTTAAAAATTATAAAAAATCAAGAAGATGGAAGATAAAAAAAAAAACACAGAAGCTTTTGTGAATGCTTCGTTGGTGCATGCCGATAGAAGTAGAATAGAAGAGACAGGCACGAAGAGACAGAAAAAAAAAATAAAAAAATCGTTGAAGTAGTCTTTTGGGCCTCGGAGTTTTTCGCTCAATTTGGCTTCAGAATAAATTTTTCGAAAAATTGTGAATAGGCTTATATTAAATTAGTTAATTGTGAAAAAATACATCGATTAAAATCATTTGTAAATAAGTATTTTTGATTTGAAATGTATTGTAATTAGGTATTCATTTTCAAATATTTTATTCATTAAAATATTCTTTTTATTATTTGAAGGCCAGTTAGTTTAGCAGTCTCATTTTTTTTATAAGATTTGATTTATTATATTAATGGTTCATATTTTAAGAAATTTGACATATTTGAAATTTAAAATTATACCATATGAAATATACTTTAACGACTTGACTCAGATTTTAAAATTTATTTTTATATTATTTTTTAATGTTAAACGATTTTGGTTGTTCTCAAATTTAACAATAGTGTCACTNTATAAACTAAAATGTCTTGAATTTGAATTTTGACAATCTTTTGAATCATTTGACGAAAAATTTATTCTTCATGAATACCCTAATCCCGATGTAGTGATCGAGAGTGTGCATCAGATGACCGAGACATTTTTAACTGTTAAAAAAGAAAAAAATTCTATGCATTAAATATTTTGTAGGAGAGAGTAAGACCCATTAATCCAACCATTATTATGCTTTGATATATATAATTTAATAAATAATTTAGTAAATATAACAATGCTCAATTATGAGAGTCATCAAACAGCCCACACCGCATACCCACCGTGCAACACCACACCAGAGACATATCAAAACATTGCCACCACCGAGACCGACCGCCAGCCAATTCTCGACATGTTCGCCGAATATGAAAATCCACATAAAATTAAAAGATTTGATTTTGGATGACAAATCTGTCAGGCGATTCAGGCCTACTTTAACCTAGATTGCCACAAACCCAACTGATTATACTTTATGGACTAATAAATTTTGACAGGACAACCCATTGTCAGCTCTACCTCCGACAAAGAGTTTCCCACCACCTCTACCTACAGGCGACAATAAGTTACAAACATACTGATATGTGCATTCGTCTACCCACCACCCAAAATCAAACTTACAGCCATTGTCACAGCCTCCATGACTCGCCAATGGGTTCGAATCCAGATGGGTCCCCCAAAATATATTACCCACCAATATTTTCTGTAGATGAGATTTAAGAATTTCGAAAAGTACCGATTTCATAGAAGAAGGAAAAAAGAGAAGAACAACCAGGGCCACCCGCCATCCAAAGTATAAGAGGGTCATCTCTTGGATTCCTTTCTGATTCAAGGAAATAGTAGAATAACTGCACTTCATCTCTCTCTCCTACACCAATGTAACTTCAATCCCAAAATGTTCGTTAGTGGGACAGTACCTTGGTGACTGATAGCTGTTTGAAGAAATGCCTAAGAGGAGTAAAATGAGAGAGCAGATAGAACCTACCCAGTTTCAAGTTCAAATGGAAGATCACCGGGAAATCCAGGTAGAGTCTTGATGATGGACTGTGGGACAATGGTGTCGGAGAGGAGCAACAGAAGAATGGCTCGAAGCAGCACCGGAGTGAGGTAGACTTGAAGTTTCTTAGTTTGCTGGTCCGGTGCCGGTTTCGGCGGTGCCATTGATTGCTTTTCTCAAGAAGGTAAACTGCACGAAAGTTTGTATCGAATAATGGCTAATAAGATTATATCTAACCATGTCTTAAATATTGGATTATTGTATTTAAGGTCCAAAGTACAAGATTTATCTCATTTTATCTTATAATATTTTAATTGTATTATTTTAATCTACGAAATATTGAATATATTTTTATATTGTCCTTTTAAGTAGACATCGTCTAAATTTGTAACGATTTTTTTATTATAAACTTATCCTATGATATTTAAATATGAACAAAAAATAATTTAAATAATTCTTGATTAAATTTCTACTCACAAGAACACGAAAAAAATGACACGATACAAAAATAAGATGAACCAAAATAATACGATTGACACCCTTAATTGAAGAAATATAGTGACAAATTGCACCACTAATAGTGAAGACTTGAAATTTTATGAAAAGTCGGTGGCTTAAAATTGTACCACCGATAGTGTTTTACTTGAAAAAATTAAAGAAAATTTGATGGGTAGACTTAGGACTTATATAATATAAAAAATGAGTGAAATTAGGATTTTAAAAATTATAAAAAATCAAGAAGATGGAAGATAAAAAAAAAAACACAGAAGCTTTTGTGAATGCTTCGTTGGTGCATGCCGATAGAAGTAGAATAGAAGAGACAGGCACGAAGAGACAGAAAAAAAAAATAAAAAAATCGTTGAAGTAGTCTTTTGGGCCTCGGAGTTTTTCGCTCAATTTGGCTTCAGAATAAATTTTTCGAAAAATTGTGAATAGGCTTATATTAAATTAGTTAATTGTGAAAAAATACATCGATTAAAATCATTTGTAAATAAGTATTTTTGATTTGAAATGTATTGTAATTAGGTATTCATTTTCAAATATTTTATTCATTAAAATATTCTTTTTATTATTTGAAGGCCAGTTAGTTTAGCAGTCTCATTTTTTTTATAAGATTTGATTTATTATATTAATGGTTCATATTTTAAGAAATTTGACATATTTGAAATTTAAAATTATACCATATGAAATATACTTTAACGACTTGACTCAGATTTTAAAATTTATTTTTATATTATTTTTTAATGTTAAACGACTTTGGTTGTTCTCAAATTTAACAATAGTGTCACTTTACAATGTTATACAGTGATGTAACACTGTCATTCATTAAAAATAAAATGTATGGTTGTCACATTATGCGATGCATATTATTTAGATTATATATAAATCAGTTAATATAATATCACAATTTTTTTTGTCAGTAATTAAAGTGCTAATAAAGGTGTTACACTATCATGTATCACTGTAATGTTACGTCATCGACAATTTGAATCAAAACAGAAGGAATATTAGTCTTTAATGATACTTCAACTTGTGTTTTTTTTAGTTAAAAATTGAAATATTTGTAGCAGAGTTTATTCAAATTTGAAAACCCATGTCTTGAGAGGTATAGTAGTTACCGAATTTAATGGGATTATTGTATGATTTATTGCGGTTTCATCATCCACTCCTTACGTTATATAATTGTTATCTTGCGGGCATTTTTATCATCCAAACAAAATGTACTTCTATACAAAATATTTTGTCCCGGGTATTTTTTTTCCTAATTAAGTGGTAAATTAAGTACCGATTCACNTCTACTTTATGGACTAATAAATTTTGACAGGACGACCCATTGTCAGCTCTATCTCCGACAAAGAGTTTCCCACCACCTCTACCTACAGGCGACAATAAGTTACAAACATACTGATATGTGCATTCGTCTACCCTTCACCCAAAATCAAACTTAGCCATTGTCACAGCCTCCATGACTCGCGAATGGGTTCGAATCCAGATGGGTCCCCCAAAATCTATTACCCACCAATATTTTCTGTAGATGAGATTTAAGAATTTCGAAAAGTACCGATTTCATAGAGGAAGGAAAAAAGAGAAGAACAACCAGGGCCACCCGCCATCCAAAGTATAAGAGGGTCATCTCTTGGATTCCTTTCTGATTCAAGGAAATAGTAGAATAACTGCACTTCATCTCTCTCTCCTACACCAATGTAACTTCAATCCCAAAATGTTCGTTAGTGGGACAGTACCTTGGTGACTGATAGCTGTTTGAAGAAATGCCTAAGAGGAGTAAAATGAGAGAGCAGATAGAACCTACCCAGTTTCAAGTTCAAATGGAAGATCACCGGGAAATCCAGGTAGAGTCTTGATGATGGACTGTGGGACAATGGTGTCGGAGAGGAGCAACAGAAGAATGGCTCGAAGCAGCACCGGAGTGAGGTAGACTTGAAGTTTCTTAGTTTGCTGGTCCGGTGCCGGTTTCGGCGGTGCCATTGATTGCTTTTCTCAAGAAGGTAAACTGCACGAAAGTTTGTATCGAATAATGGCTAATAAGATTATATCTAACCATGTCTTAAATATTGGATTATTGTATTTAAGGTCCAAAGTACAAGATTTATCTCATTTTATCTTATAATATTTTAATTGTATTATTTTAATCTACGAAATATTGAATATATTTTTATATTGTCCTTTTAAGTAGACATCGTCTAAATTTGTAACGATTTTTTTATTATAAACTTATCCTATGATATTTAAATATGAACAAAAAATAATTTAAATAATTCTTGATTAAATTTCTACTCACAAGAACACGAAAAAAATGACACGATACAAAAATAAGATGAACCAAAATAATACGATTGACACCCTTAATTGAAGAAATATAGTGACAAATTGCACCACTAATAGTGAAGACTTGAAATTTTATGAAAAGTCGGTGGCTTAAAATTGTACCACCGATAGTGTTTTACTTGAAAAAATTAAAGAAAATTTGATGGGTAGACTTAGGACTTATATAATATAAAAAATGAGTGAAATTAGGATTTTAAAAATTATAAAAAATCAAGAAGATGGAAGATAAAAAAAAAAACACAGAAGCTTTTGTGAATGCTTCGTTGGTGCATGCCGATAGAAGTAGAATAGAAGAGACAGGCACGAAGAGACAGAAAAAAAAAATAAAAAAATCGTTGAAGTAGTCTTTTGGGCCTCGGAGTTTTTCGCTCAATTTGGCTTCAGAATAAATTTTTCGAAAAATTGTGAATAGGCTTATATTAAATTAGTTAATTGTGAAAAAATACATCGATTAAAATCATTTGTAAATAAGTATTTTTGATTTGAAATGTATTGTAATTAGGTATTCATTTTCAAATATTTTATTCATTAAAATATTCTTTTTATTATTTGAAGGCCAGTTAGTTTAGCAGTCTCATTTTTTTTATAAGATTTGATTTATTATATTAATGGTTCATATTTTAAGAAATTTGACATATTTGAAATTTAAAATTATACCATATGAAATATACTTTAACGACTTGACTCAGATTTTAAAATTTATTTTTATATTATTTTTTAATGTTAAACGATTTTGGTTGTTCTCAAATTTAACAATAGTGTCACTTTACAATGTTATACAGTGATGTAACACTGTCATTCATTAAAAATAAAATGTATGGTTGTCACATTATGCGATGCATATTATTTAGATTATATATAAATCAGTTAATATAATATCACAATTTTTTTTGTCAGTAATTAAAGTGCTAATAAAGGTGTTACACTATCATGTATCACTGTAATGTTACGTCATCGACAATTTGAATCAAAACAGAAGGAATATTAGTCTTTAATGATACTTCAACTTGTGTTTTTTTTAGTTAAAAATTGAAATATTTGTAGCAGAGTTTATTCAAATTTGAAAACCCATGTCTTGAGAGGTATAGTAGTTACCGAATTTAATGGGATTATTGTATGATTTATTGCGGTTTCATCATCCACTCCTTACGTTATATAATTGTTATCTTGCGGGCATTTTTATCATCCAAACAAAATGTACTTCTATACAAAATATTTTGTCCCGGGTATTTTTTTTCCTAATTAAGTGGTAAATTAAGTACCGATTCACAAAAAATTCTAATTTTATTTTTGATTTGGTATAAGTTTAAGTCCAAAGTTTTTGAACTATTTAAACTCAAATTAAAATTTAAGTTTAAATTAGAGTCGGAGTTAAAAATGCTCTCATGGTTGTTGTGGCTCTGTTGATATGTTTGACTGACTAAAATATTCGTAACACTTATGTTTTGTGTAAAATATTTTGTTGCTACTAATTATTTATATAATAAAGTACAGAAGTATTTTAAATCTCTTAAATATAAAAATAAGTTTTATTTTTTGTGATCGAGATCGTTTTAGAATTGACGCATAATTAATCCAACGGACAAAAATCTGTCTCAAAAATTTGGTTTTCCAGCCCATGATCTTTCATATCTGCCCCCACTTCTTTGACTTTTTAGCTGTAATAACTTACACACGTCTTGTAGATGATGCACCCAGTTTCAACTTTCAACCTACACGCTACCAGCCGGAAGAAAAAAATGTGAAGGGTAAATGACATTCAAACCCCCTTGGATACGAGACAATACATCACACTCCCTTGAAGTTTTTTTTTTTTTTGACTAGTCAATCCCTTGAAGTTTAGTTCCGTGTAACACATTACTTCTTGTGATTAAGACCTGTTTGAAAAATAAGTTAAATTTTGGTGATATAAGAAAATTTTTATCCTAAAATTCCCAAACCATTCAAAATGCAAAAGATAAAATACCATAAAAATCCAAACAATTTTTTAGTTCCAATAAACACCCCCACCAGGGAAAACAATAAATCTATCAGGTATCTTCTCCTCAGTCGACCCTTCTCCTAAATGCCTACATCAACCTAAAACCACTGTTACTTCTCTCTCTCTCTCTCTGTCTCACACACACAAATATGAGTAAATATTGAGTGTAACGATTATATCACATCAATTGTCATATAGTATAACCGTTCAATAATGAATAAACAAGTGGTCAAAATAGACCTCATTCCTTCAAATAATCACCCCTCCATTTAAGATAGTAATCTCCACATATTCAACAAGTGGGGGTTCACAATTTTGAGAGTTTACCCATAATCG